CCCCCCCCCCCCCCCCCGAAACAAATTATAACAGGCGACCTTCTCCGCGCTCTTGAGGGGCACCGCTCTCGGTGTCGCGTTGGCCCGCGGCCTTCTCTCCGGAATGTGCGGAGCGATGCCGTCGTGGATGCTTGATGACCTCGTGCTGACGGTGAGGTCGCTGTTCGACAGCCTCTCTCCCGCGGCGGCTTCTTCGTGCATCGACGCCGTGTTGAGGGACCCTTCGTTTGAGAGGTGAGGGCGGGGGAGGGGGGTCCGCGGTGTGTCTGTGTTGGAGAGGTTACGGGGGGTTCCGGTGTGTTTTCGTTTGATAGGCAAGGGGGGGGGGTAGGTGTGTCATGCCATTTACTCTGATTGCCGTTGTTTTTCACCTTTGGTGGTCGGCCACAGATGTGATTTGGATCATTGGATTCACGGGTCAGGGCTACGCGAACGAAATGAAACGCAGGAATTACCTCTCTTATTTTTTTTCTCCACCTGGAGCGCAAAACATGAGCCCTCCCCCCGTCTTTTTCTACCCCCAACTCCACCCCCCCCCGCAAAAATAGGTACAGCGTGACCAACGAGCACAAGGTGGCCTTCTCGCGGAAGCTGAAGGAAGATTTCTGCAACAAGGACTGGAGGGCGTTCAAGGCGGGATTGAAGGCGTTTTGCGGCGGAAAGAAGAAGGGGACCGGGGGGACCCCGCCGGTACATGCCTCAGCAGCGGCGGCGGCGGCAGCGGCGGCGGCCGGACGGCAAAGTGCGCCTCAGCATCCGGTGCCTCTAAACCCGCTCTTGGCGGCAGGGCAACATCACCGCCATCACTTCTAGCAGAAGTAGCTGCCGTAGCAGCAGCAGCAACAGTTCAAACACCGGTGCTACATGGGGGGGGAAGAAGGAGGGTTCGAGAGGAGAGACGTGGTCAAACTGCGGACGGCTGGAGATGCGGGGGGGGCGGGGGGATAGGATTGTCCCTCACCAATTTTTTCGCAGTGGGTGCCGGTAGGTCCGTCCCGACGATGTTATAGTTGCACTCGATGTTGTTGCGTTTTTTCTTTTTTTCATGTTGCCCGAGTCGCCCCTCTTGCAGAGTAGTAGTACCTCGTATAGTATACGACGAGTGGCGGTCGGCGCTTAGCTTGCAAAAAGAGGCGACAGGATCTAGATGGTATTGCCTTGTGTTTTAGCTTTTTATGTGCTTGTATTGGTGTTGTTGTAGGGGATCACCTTGTAAACTGTCTTGTGGCACCAGGGTAGCACTTTTCTTGTGCGTGGCCCAACGACGAGCAGAAGACTGCTCGAAGGTCAAGTGTATGCGGGCGCTCAACGCCACATGTTCTCTGCGGGCGCTCTAACCTTGGCGTGTGGAAAATACGGTCGATGGTTGCGAGACCGGGGGTAGGGGAGTAGGGGATGGNGGGGGGGGGGGGGGGGGGGGGGGGGGGGGGGGGGGGGGGGGGGGGGGGGAGTAAAACATGAGGCCCTGGAAGGCAGGACACGCGGCGAGAATCCTGTGCCTCGACCGCCTGTCCACCGCAGAGGGGACCGACCCCAAATCACGGGTAGAGGGTTGCCACGCCTTGTGTAGGGGGTGTGGAGATATCCATTCCGCGTGCCCCCCGATCGGTCGGTGGGGGGGG